TGAGTATTATGAGTTAACCCTAAGAATGTATTTTTGCTAACAAAGTGCCTCATGTTCCCAGGTAGACAACCACATTAAAATATTTTCCATTTGTCTAATGAAATTAGGTAATTTCATGGCCTATAAAAATGGAAAGGTTATGTGATGATTTCCTTTACCATATTTATTTAGTACTTTTCTGGAGTAAATACCTAAATTTGTATTAATGTTTCCTTTAAAACTTGCCCACATTAAAACAGTATGATAATTCTCTTAAGTACCAAGAAATGGATGGGGTAAAGAGAAATGAGTGAAAACAAAAGCTGTTTCAAAATACAGGTGCTGGGGCTACTGCTGGCCTGGTGGTTGAGGAACTGGTTTCTCACATGGCTGACTGCAGTTGAGTCCTGGATCCAGCAGCTTGAAAATCATGCCAGGCATGTGTATGTGTATGACCAAAATCCTGAGAGGAGAATGGAGAAAGATTGCAGCCATCTCCCTGGGGGATAATTTCTCACTCTTTTGCGCCCGTTGGCAAAGACCTAAAAAAGTTTAAAAAAATACAGGTTCTGAAGTCCAAGTACAATTATGAAAGGATAGACTGTAATTCCTAGTATCTGATTACCAGATTTCTTCTTCTTGACAAACTATCAATATTAAAATCAGTGAAGCTAGGAGATGCCCATAAAGCAAACAAAATGGTGCCATTTAATGTAGAAACATGTGGTAGCACCGAGTCTAAAAAAATCTGAAAAACGTCAGTGTGTGTGTTATACAAGGATGACATGCCATCAGCCTTTCCTGATTAAAAAATTGCACATTTATTTCATTTACTTCTAATATTTACTTGAACTCAGGATACCTATTATTCCACTAAAATCTTTTGTGCTGTCCTAAAGACTACAAAACATACTGATTCTCTTTTAAAAGAATTATGTAAATTTTTTTCTCTTTTTAAGAATTTTTATTTTAACTTTATTTTAATTTGACCAGAGAGAGTCAGAGTGAGAAAGCAAGCCACCAGATCTAGAATTCGAACTGTGGTCAGCAATGTGGGAGTCCAAGTGCCCCTAACCACCATACCACCTGCCAGCCCAAAGTTTTCTTATTTTTTTAATTTGGCCAGAGAGAGAAAGTGAGAAGGCCTTTTTACACCTATCCTAAATATGTTAACCTACTCCATCTCTCCTTTTGGTACATGTTTTAAATTGATTTAATAAGGTGCTGCCCTGTGCTCATTTGATGCACATTTGGTATCTCTTGTGATGCAGCAGCAGAGGAGACTCTGGCACTTACCATGAATGATGGATAACCCAAGGAAGGAATCAAGACTGGGAACAAAAATTGTATTGATTTGAAGGTGGCATGCATGGCAGGATGGTTCCATAGTACCGTTTAAGATTAAGAGGCATATACCACTTAATTTATTAAAACCTATTGTAAATGACAAGATTTGTCAGTGAGGCAGATCAGATTCCAATTTGTTGGGCAGCCAATAATTTAAACAGACACTTGCACAGTTGGAAATGGGAGCTGAAGATAAAATTGATGTGTTCCCACAGCAGATGGGAGGTATCTACTAAAGAGTGAAATTATTGTTTTATTCTAGAACTCTGTTCCTTCAGACCAAGAATACACAGGTTAGTTCTACAGTATCCTGACCACAGCAGTATAGTTTTCTCCATTTGTTTCCTCTTTCCCCATTGTTTTTATTATACATACAGTAACTCGTGTATGTGCACAAGTACATTTTGACGGACATCAAGTGGAGATGGAATGAGGAAAAATACTGTTCTGTGAAAATAACCTTGCCTCCATTGATGGAATGTTCATTTAGCTCTTTATATTCCATAGGTGGTTTTGCTGTTGTAACAAAACAAATGACAGGAAAATCCTTGTATAGCATATTCTATTGGAGAATTTTATTGTTTTTCACTTATTAGTATAAAACCAAGGGTCATGGCCTCAATCTGTAGTAACTAAAGGAGCTGGATCCCACATGGCCGCCTATTGTTCCAATATTGGCCCCAGTACCTTGGAAAACACTCTGGGCACATGTACATGTCTGCTCCAAATCCCAACAGGACAGAGAAATGGAGGAGAATGGATTGTATTATGACCACTTCCCATTGGGGATGTTTTCTCCCTTTCTCTGTCTTTGTCTCTTTTTGGTGCATGTGTCTGTCCTCTGGCAACTAAAAACAGAAAAAACAATTTTATGATTTTTTTTGTACATAACTGTTGCATGTAAGGCAATGTCTTTAGGGATAAAATTACTCAAGAAAAAAATCATTAGATTTCCCTTCAAATCAAATGTCTTATTTAAATAAAATTATTAGAAGTGAAAAGACTCATTTTAATAAAATACGTGATTCAAGCATCTCAATTTGATCTGAGCTGCTCTGTTCCATTCCATTCCGGAATGGCCTAAAAGGTACTTAGAAGCTACCACTGGTTCAAAGTACTTTCCCATCCCAGTATGTGTTTTACAAATGATATCTTATTAAGTCCACACAGCAACTTTATGAGAGAATTACTATTCTTACCCTATAGAGAAAAGTCTCAGGAAGGCTAAGTAACTTGTATCCATGGTAACATTGCTAATAAATGAGGGAACTAGAGTTCATTCCCATGATGATATGGCTCCCGAGTCCATGTTCTTTTCCACTAAGCTCATTGGTTTTTGTATCTTCAATACCTAACATGATTTTTTTTTAGAGGTTTTGCTATAGGGCATGTGTGCCCATGGGAGCATAGGGGGTAGGGTTGGAAGAAGACAGAGACAGTGAGAGGGGAAGAGAAATAAGCCCCCAGGGGGCATGGCCACAGAAATCCCTTCTCTATTCTCCTCCTGGGATCTTGGGCACACATGCACATGTACCTGGTGATCTTCAAGTCACTTTGTCCAGGACTTGAATTGTGGTCGGCCACATGGGGGTTTAGCGACATAACCACTACATCATCTGGCCCCCATAACATGATATTTATTATATAGTAGATATATTGTTTGATGATTTTTATCAAATGAATTAATCCTTGCTCTCAGTTTACTTGACATGAGACCCATGGTAAACCAGCTAACCTTAAGATTCAGTTTCCTCATACAATTTATGTGACTATTATTTAAAGTTTACATTTGTGAAACATCTCACTCAACATTTGACCTCTAGTAGTTGCCTTAAGAAAGACTATCTTCCTTCATTCTAGGGCAGGTTTTAAAAAAGAACTTTCAGGACCAGCAGATGGTATATAATGGTTACTGGACTCCTACATAATTGACTATGGTTCAAGTCCCGGAGCCAGCGGCTTAAACTCTTGCTGGTTGTGTATGCATGCATGTCCAAAATGCCTGAGAGTAGAATGGAGAAAGAATTGTGTGTGGCCATCCCCCCTATGGGATGATTTCTCTCTGTCTCCCTGTCTCTGGCAAGTGCATGTGCACTATATTAAAAAAATCTCTAAAAAACAACAACAAAACTTTCAGTTATTTTCAAAGCTTAAGTAAAATTTCTCTGCTACTTTACTATCTTGTGTACAACTAGCCACAAAACAGGTGCATGTTGTTCAAGTCATGCCTATGTCCCCTCAATATTTCTGCTTCGAACTACTTAAATCTTTCACCTTAGTTTCATTTGTTAGATGAAACTATTTTTTTTTTCTTTCTGGTGCAATTAACTTTAGATAAGTTTCCCTAAGAAAATAGTATTGGTAATTCAACCAAATTATTGTCTCCTTCAGGAGACACTGTTGCCATCACATTACACAGGAGTGTTTCCTATCTCCACCACTAACCTTTGGCCTTGAAAAGAGCATGTATCAAGGAAATTCTCTTGGACCCTACTACTTTTTAACTGTAACCTTAACCTGATTCAGTTGTTTCATCTATAATCTGAGAGAAATTGCTCTATCTCACAGAGGTGTTCTGAAGAATAAATGAATTAGTTCACATAAGGTGCTTAGTAGAGTGCCTGGCACTTTGTGAGCTTAGTAGATATAATTAAAAGCTGAGTTTACAGAAACAATTTTACAAAGGTTTAGAAATATTTTCCTGGGACCAGCAGGTTGCATGGAGGCTAAGGGACTGGATCCTACATAGTTGACAGTGCTGCTGGAGTCCCAGATCCTGGGGCTTGAAAATCACCCTGCTGTTTCTCCATGTGTGCCTGAAAACCCTGGGAAGAGAATGGAGAGAGGGATTGCAACGTGGCAGTCTTCCCTGGGGAGTCCGGGTGGTTTCTCTCTTTCCTTCTCTCTGGTGAGCTCATGCGCCTTATAGCAAAACTTTAAAAAAAATTTTTTTTAAAAATATATTCCCAGGGACCAGCAGATGGCATAATAGTTACGCCACTGGATTCCCACATAGTTGCCCCTGGTTTGAGTTTCAGACCTAGTGGCTTAAAACCTCACACAGGGCACTTGAGTGCATAGTACCCAACATTCCAAAACGAGAATGGAAGAGAAGGGGTTGCAGCATGGGCATCCCCCTTGGGGGGTGATTTCTCGCTTTCCATCTCTGTCTCTGGCGAACACACGTGCCCCGTAGCAAAAAATCTCTTAAAAATATATATATATACTTTACTGAGTTTAATGATTTTTTCCTCCCCTCATTCTCAGCCTCATTTTGCTCACACTTTGCTCCAGATTTTTTTCCTCATTAAATAATGGTGCGCCGCCCCACTCCGCTTCATACATCAGTAGCACGTTCTCCTCACCTCACCCTGTGCAGGTCCTACAGCCACTTGTCAGTCTCTCAGGACGGCCGAGTGAGCACAGCATACCGTGTCCCCAGGGTATGTCGAAGGCTCACTAGGGAATCTCCATCTGGTCCAAAGCGAGGACAGGAGAGGCCGGAGCCAGAGAGGCAGAGTGGGCGGGCCCCTCAGGCCGACTAGGAGGCGCGCGGGGCAGGCTCTCTGCATGCTCTAAGAGAAAGGCAGGAGGCGGGCCCTCGGCCGGGGGCGGGGCCCTCCCAGGAC